CTTTCAATAAAATAACAACAATCTTCATATGTGCATAAATATCTCTAGCAGTTAATGAGATCCAATTATAACTGCGCTCCGGAAATCGACCGAATTTTAAAAAAATATAGTTTCTTTCAGAGTGATTATAAGCACACTACGTTCGTTGTTGGACGACCGGTTCCGGTTCCGATACATGTCGGTGCACCCGACCGTCGTTCTATTCTCTTAATCGGTTTTCCGTTTTGCTGATTTAAATTTTATTAAGAATCGAAATCGTTTCAAAATACTATTAATAATTATGTGAAAAGTATTTGTAAAAAATATCACCCCTAATAAATAATTAAATACTCCTTATTTGAAATAATTTCCAAATTTAATTTTTATTTAAACACCCTGTAAAAAATACATTTTTTTATTTAAGAAAAAATCCATAATCTGGGAATTATTTTGTTGAATAATTGCACCATTTTAAAAAAATAAAAAAAAAATAAGGCACCGAACTTAATGGATGCAGTAGAATGTAAAAAGTAATCTCTACTATTGTAGTGAAGTGTAGAGGGTGACTGGTGGTGGGTTGGGTTGTTCATGGTCACTCTAGTAAGTGGAATTTATTTTGAAATTATATCCAAAGGTCAATCTCCAATATTTCACATCACTACGAAATTTATAATAGAAGACGAGAAGATTTTTAGACAGTGGTGGGCGGTTTTCTTGCCGCACAATTTGTAAATAAACCCAAGGTGGTGAAGTATAGTAGCCGGTTCTGAGTAGAATGCGTGACCTTCGATGTGTTGATGCTTGCCCGCATTTTAAAAAGCATCGACCCTAGTAATGAGAAGGTCAATGATAGTTCTCCCACAGTTAAGTATCCTGAGTAGCTTCTGTACCACGTTTTTGAATACTTTCGAAGTATTCCATATTCCCACTGATAAAAATGTGCATGTATAGCATTTGCTCTTGCCCTCTTTGTGGGTGTGTTTCCCCATAAGTTTTAATGATCATTTATATAACAATGGAACTTACCATCTGTCGAATCTGGGCTTCTCCAGATCAAATGGGTGTTCGCATTTTTTGCTTTACGTTGCTTGCATCGTCCGGTTAAAACATTACGGAATAAGTCAGCCATTTTGAAGTCTTATCTCGCAAAGTCTCAGACCGCTACCCTCATTTTAGTCATTCAATTCGTAACAGGTCACATTGTGACGCTCATAAAATATTATGAATTAATATTGTCCTTGCGACGCAAAGAATACAATTTTGAGGAACCATACCGACCTATAATAGATTCGGTGCCACGGAGTAAATACTTTAATATAAGATTTGGTTTCCGATCTCCCGGCCCGGTTCTGTTCTCCCGTTTTGCGCCCGGTTAAACTGTTAGACACGATTTCCCGTAGAATGGTCTCGGTTCTGAAGCCGAGCTGCCAATACTCCCATCATCTCCTCTCCCTCTAATTTGTAACGAAGTCTGCGGGCGTTTCCTCTCTCTTCGCTTAAATTTGAACTCTTTTAATAGCGATGGTATATTTAAAATTTTGCCCTCTGCGAAATTTCTGGTCTCGAATGGAAAATGTGGAAGTGTTAATGCTCTCTTTCATTTTTATTACGTGTTATTCAATATATAAAAACGAATCTGTGTCAATAAGATCTAGGCAGCGATCATTGACATCAAAAATCAGAGGATCTCCACGACTAAAAGAATCTAATTGATTTCCAGAATCTCTATATACCGCGGATTGTGTTTCACGGAAAAAAACACCCTCATTGTGATGAGTATTTATTTCCTCAAAAATGTATATACGTATGATGTATCACGGAGAATTTCAACTAATTGTTTTAAATATTAATAAGAAGATAATCAAAGAGGTATTTTTCATGCTTTTTTTTTTTTTTTTTTGAATAATTGAACATATATAGACAGTAGCGTAGTTTGTAGGTTTACCTCTAAAGACATGGTTAAACGTTAAGTTAATCAAACATTTTTTAATCAAAGTTAAGAAGTTTCATATATTAATTGAACACCAAGATGTTCAACTTATATATAGTTTTTATGGCTCTAACATATAAAGTTTATTTTTGCAAATGAAAATTGAGAAAAAGAGAACATGCACCGAGTCTCACCGATAATTGTTTCCAATTAGAAATCTAGAATATTGCCCTCTCTGTTTATTGTTTGTCCAACCAACATCCAATAAAAATCGCTTAATGACTAATTATTTTCAATTAAATCAATTTCGATCATCTAAATTTGCATTTCAAAAAAACGACTGGGGGAAAGATTACCAGAAAACCACCTATGATGTGGTGGATTTTATAAGAATTTTATAACAAGTTCGTGTTTTCCAATACTTAATTGTCGAATTGCAATACCCGTAGAGTAGATGCCGACCCTATAATTTTGATTATTGTTAATTTATCCTCGACGATATGAAGGGCCAAACATTATGTCACGAGAATAATATGTTATAGATCTCCAACGCGTGTAATGTGGTTGGAAAGGATGAGGAGAGATAGACGTGTGTGTAAATACGGCAGGTCATAATCAACAAATGTCATAACAAGGTTAGTTCTGTGTGTTTTGATCTGTAGATATAATATGAAATAATATAATAGAAGATCGCATAAAAGTTGTGATAAGTGGGATAGTTGGTTTTTTTTTTTTTTTTTTGAATAATTGAACATATATAGACAGCGTAGTTGGTTACTCTAAGACATGGGTTAACGTAATAATCAACTTGTTTTAATCAAATAAGAGTTTCATATATAATTGAACACAAGAATACAATAATTAGGCAGTTTTTTGAAAATTGAGAAAAAGAAATGACAGTTAGTTTTCCAATTAGAATCTAGAAATGCCTCTGTTGCATTAATAATTGATCTATGATTTCCATGGGGGAAGATTACAGAAACCACCTTGATATGACAAATTTAACAGTTACCAAAATACATAGATAGATGCATAAATTTATTATTACAAAGCAATAATATGAATAATCCAAGGTTGGAGGAGAGAGATAGAATAAAACGGAGAATCCAAAGTGGTATCTGTCTTGATTTAGATAAAAAATAGAGATGTAAGTGAAGTTAGAGCATCTCATAAAGAAAAACTTAAATGGAGGATTGTAAGGTACACAACCATCGTTCTTTTTTATATGATCCACCTCATGTGTTCATCCTTTTGACTCAGCATATATATGAGATAAAATTAAAAAGTAAATTAAAAAATTTAAAAGAAAGGATGTTTTGATCCTCAACAATTAATGGGTCCTCCACATTACCCAAATCTCCTTTGATCCAATCATAAATGGTTAGATGATCTTATCTCCATTTTAAGGATTTTTGTCAGAAAGCTCTGATAATGTCTACCAAAACTTCCGTTTTTTTTTTTTTTTTTTAAAAGAAAACTTTACTTCTCTCTCTCTCTCTTCTTTTTGTTCTTCTTTCTTGAACTGCATATACATAATTTCTTAAGTTGTTATTATATTGTGTGCATTGTATATAATGAGTGTCTCCATTTGAACTTTTTCATGTCAATAATAAAGGATGTATAGTTATATAGAGTACTGGGTTTGTACTAATTATATGATTAAAGTAGACCTACTATGTAGCCAGCTAATCTATGTTCTTGGAAAGATGAAATCCTTTTCAATTGGGTCCTAATTTTTATTAACTAATTAAAATGTTCAGGAAAAAGATAAGATTCTCCAAAATATAAAGCTTTCCTTCTTAGCACTTGATATTTGCATTTTCCGCCAAGCCCTAGGAATTAAAATGGAATGAAGTATGTTTGTACTTATGGAGTAATTTTGTTGTCTTTTGACATATGTTAAATACAATACTAGTAAAAATATTGTGTTTCAGTGTCTATCTTAAAATATATAAAAAATAAGATTAAAATCTTAATACTGTCTTTTTAAATTTTTAATGTATTATTAAAAGAAAATTAAAAAAAAAAATACACACTTGATAACATATGGATACTAGATATCCATCCACCAAACACAACTTTTTTAAAAGTGTTCCTCCCTTTCTATGCATAAAAACTCTTCATTTTGTTTCTTTTCTTTTCTTTTCTTTTCTTTCCTTTTTTTTTTTTTTATTTTTTATAATCCCTCTAGAATACTGTGGCTACTAAATTTGGTAACTTTAGGAATCAAGCGCCGTTAGAATAGAAAGTGTTAACCTAAGGGTCAAAGGCCTTATCCTTATTGAAAAGTACTTGATTAGATCGGATTCATAACCCTATTTATGGACTAAATAAATGAAATTAAAGATTCTTTAAAAAATATTCAGAATTTATCTTTTTTTTATTCTAAGTGTATAATTAGAAATACCGTCGTTTCTATAAGAATATTTAATTTCATTAGTTTGATTCATAAATTGGGTCATAGACTCAGTCTAGATAAATTTTTCTCCTCTTATTAAAGTATCATTTTTGTATCTAACTTGTACAAAATAGGAGAAAATTTTTAACATGTTTGAATGTCAATCCATCCCATGAGTGGTTATAGAGCATATATCAGAGGTTGCATTGACATTAGGAAGTTCCCTTTGAATTAAACATTATAACTTATAAGTTGCTTGCTCTATATAATTATATAGCAAGCATTTCTTTTGGTTAAATACATCATTTTTATGCCATTCTTTTAAGCTTTTTGAAGCGATTGCATGTTTATAACATTGCATACCTTGCAATATTCATCCATGCTTTTATAATATTGTAATTGGGTTCTAAACTTAATACGACCAATTACACCACAAAATTTATGAGAATTCTTAATTTAGAAACAAAAAACTAAAGATGGATATTTATGTTATTTTAGTTATGCAATATTACAAGTTAACTTTACAAAATTTAATACTTTTTTTTTTTAAGTATTAAAAGAAGAAAATCTGAACCTAAATCTATTGGTAAATCATAACTATATTTACCACTACGCTATGCGTGCACTCGTTATCAACTTAACTAACTTTTTTAAATTAAATTTATAGTTATTTAAAATTAAAAGAAAAAAAAATACTGAATCTTAGAGTAAGAAACTCTATGCATTAAGCCAAACCTTGCAAAATTACAAATTATTTACCCCCCTTTGTACTCACTACTCAAGTAGTTACAAAGATGTACAAATGCTTTCAAGCCAAGAAATAGTGACTTGTTTTTCTCTCTTGTTTTTTTTTTTCCCTTCCTTTTTCTAGGGTCTATCTTTCTTGTTCTGTCCAATTTTAAACCTTGAACAAGAAAATTACATATCTCCTAATCCACCCTTAGTCACATTTTTTTTTTTTTTTTTTTTTTTTATCTTTCTTTGTTCGATCCAATTTTAAACCTTGAACAGAAAATTACATATCTTCCTAATCCGCCACCCTTAGGTCACATTTTTTTTTTTTTTTTTTTTTTTTTTGAAATTAAAGGGGTGGATTACATTAATTAACATATAAAAATATATGGATTCGTCTCTACGGTCTTTACATCCTTGGGTTGCCTTGCTTATGATATCTTTTTCCACTTTCTACCAAACGTTGCTAAAAAAATCCATAACCTGCAAGAGTTTTTCAAACTTGTAACATGTTAGCTACATCACATTATATAGTTGGCTATAAAACAGTTTAGGATTACACAAAATTTAATTTAACATACATAGTTGAAATCATTAATTTTTTTTTTTTTTTTTTTTTTTGAAAAGGGGTGGATACATATAAATATACATATATAAAAATATATGATATCTTCTTCTACTCTTTACATCCTTGGTTGCCCTTGTAGTGATATCTTTTTCCACTCTACCAAACGTTGCAAAAAATCCATAACCTGCAAGAGTTTTCCAAATGTACATGTAAGCTACATCACATTATATAGGCTATAAACATTTAGGATACACAAAATTTAATTTAAAATAAATATTGAAATCTTAATTAGTGCACTTTTAAAATAAATATAAAAGGAAAAACTTTTATATTATAATTTATTAATTAATTAGTGCACTTGCCTGAGTTGGTTCTTGTAGAGAATAAGAGGCATTAGTGTCCTTTGGAAATTTAGACACTAAGATACCAAAACCTTGTCCTCTTTCTCTTAATACCTAGTCACCAAATAAAAACAAAACCTCATTAGCCTTAAAAGATCTCAAAATCTTGCAAATTCACCAATTAACAAAAATTAATAAATTTAATTAATAATTTACTTTTTTTTTTCCGTTTAAGCATTGGATACCTTAAATGCATCTTCATCCGTGCGATCATCTCCGATATAAACAGGAAAAACATCGGTGCAATTGGCGAATCCTATTTCGAATTAAAATTAAATTAAAAGAGTTAGAGGTGAATGATTAAATTAAAAAAAATATATATATATATATAAAATCAAGTTAGAAGGACATAATAAAACTTACCAAGGGACTCCAACAAAAATTCAAGAGCCTTCCCTTTGTCCCATTTAATAGTAGGACGGATTTCCAGTACCTGTATTGAGAGAAATTATATTATTAAATTATTTATTTATTCAAAAATAAAAGATTATTCTATCAAATAATTAAATGCCATGTCACACTCACACACCTTCCTTCCTTGAGTAAGTCGAAGCTTTGGGTAGTCTTTCAAAACTGACCTAACCACTTGGGCCAGTTCACTCCATTTCTGTACATATTTTCATGCACAAGTTAGTTAACATAACACTTGAAAAAGTTTATATAATTATTATTATTATTATTATTATTATAAAGAATATTAATCATTGATTCCTTACTTTCTCATCAACACAGCGAAAATGGACAGACACACAGAACTTGTTATTCTCCACCTTGGCTCCTGCAGTTGATTTAGTTTTCTCTACCAATTCCTTATAGACCTGAAATATTCAGTAAATTCATTTTCTTTATTAAAAAAATTTAATTAAACAACACTTTTACTGAATAATACTAAATGCTTCCAAGGTTTCGAACCTCATCGATCATGGGGAGAAATTCGCTTGCAGGTTGAAAGATAAGACCTTCATTACCCTGAAGAAGACAATGGAAAGAGAGAAACAAAATTAAAATGCGAGGAAAAGGAAAAGAAAGTAATTAAAATGGTATTTATTTATTTATTTATCTTGCGGATAGGTTTTAGTACTAGTGTTAAAGCTGACTTACTTTCTTGTATTTGGAGCCTTTTGCTGGTCCCTTAATGTCCATGCCATGGCTTCCAGCGTAGTACAGTTCTGCTAATCGTACAAAGTTGTAGACCTACAATAAACACAAGAATACAAAAGATCAACTTGAAGGGACTAAAAAAAGAAAAAAAATAATCCGTCCAAAGAATTTAATTTTGCATTCAAAGCAGCTTAAGGACTGAAACAAAACAGCTTTTGAATGTACCTTATCTCTGCATCTTCCGCTTACTATTGCAGTAGGAAAACATCTTGCAAGCCTTCTTACTGTTGCTCTCATCTTATTTCAAAAAGACACAATCTTTTAGTAAGCGTTAAATAAGTATTCATGTAATATTTGACAAAAACAGAGAAAAACAGGGGATTGCCTTTATGTATATGTATATATATATATATATATATATATATACCTTCTTGGACATGAAAGCTCGATCTGGATCATCTACTATTGGTGACAGAGTACCATCATAATCTAAAAACATAACTATTTGTTTCCCTTTTGAAGCGTCGATTATTTGCTCAAACATGTCCAAAGCCGATGGGTGGTGGAGCTGCGAACGTCCAAAAACCAAAAAAAAAAACAAAAAAAAAGAAAGAAAGAAAAGAAAAGAAACCCGGTTAATAAAAGCGTTCCTTTTTCTTTGAGATTGTTTTATACTATTTTTTAATAGTATTTTGTTACTTACAATCCATGATCTTTGGTCATCAGTAAGAGAAGGTGGTGTTGATTTGAGATGGGTAGGAGAAGAAGCTCTCATTGACTCGACCCAAGCATTAATTCTTGGTCCTCCATTGATCTCAAGATTCTTTAAAAGTTTCTTTCTTGAAATGGAGATATACCCAGCTGGAGCCGCCGGCGGCTTTTGTGCCGCCGTGGTGAAGATATTGGAGTTAGATACATGAACTGTGATTGCCAAGTTGATAGTGGATTTTGTATCGGATACTACCACATTTTGGTTAGTCATCTTGGCTCTAATTAATTTCCCTACACAAACAATCCAAAGTCACTCGCTTTTTTAAACTTCAAAGAAAACTAATCAAGATAAAAAATCAAACCCATTTGAAAAAAATCAAACCCATTTGAGAAAACCAGAGTGAAGTAAAATAATACTTGTAACGATACCTTAAATATAGATTACAGAAACAGAGGAGTAGATAACAGAGTACTCTGCTTTGAGTATTCTTCTAAACTCTAAATGGGCTTAAAAGAAAGAAATAAAATCAAAAGAAAGACTGTGAGAGAGGAACAGAGATTTGCGGGAGAGGGAGAGAGAATGTGCGTGTGCTTCGTGAGAGAGACAGAGCCGAATGGTGGGTTTTATAGTTGGAACCAGACACTAACGGACGAACGAATCTCTCTCCTGAAAACTCCAAAGAGAGGGGACCCACAAGTGGGGGAGAGATAAAAAGAAGGTATGGGACCCACTAAGCTGTCCCACACCAAGCCCCCGAGGCCCGAAATCCTCACGTGGCCCCTCCACCATTTCTTGCCTAGTAGTAGCAGTAGTAGCCGTCTTCCATAACTTCTCTAGCCAGCTAGTAGATTTTCCACGTGGCAGACATTCTTTGGCCGATCCAAGCTTACGTGGGATTATGCCACGTGTGAATACCGAAACCCGACCCACCCACGGGTTCTATGTCACCGGAGCTGAATTTCCTCAAGTGGATACTAATAGGAGCTTTTATCATTTTACGGATACTTGAGCTTAAGAATTAAGGTCTAATTCCCTAATTAGGAATGTGGTCACAACAAAGGGCAATTTTGAAATGACAAAACACGCCCCTTGTAATGTGAAATGAAACCAACAGCTCATAAAATCCTACCTATTTAAACAATAACGCAATTATGCAAAACCAGCAGCTCCTGTTCCTTTTCCCCTCTCCATTTCCTGCAAATTTAAATCCAACCCTTCCCTTTCTACCCTACCAACTACTCCTAAATCATCCACCTTTCATCACTCTCTTATAAATTATTGATGACATACGATTAGGTCTGACCGGTATTAGGTAAATTTTTTTTAATATGTGTGATCATTTCAAATTTTAAACTCTCAACTTTCAGGTAGAATTCGGCTAGAAATATTACTTTCTTTAATTGATCTAACTGGATGTTATAAAAATTAATACAAATAGTAATTTAAATTTTTTTTTTTCTTTAGTATAACACGTAAGGAAACAGTGCTTATGAGAAACCATTTCCCACCTTTAATGTGAAGAGCAAACTGATTGTTTGCTTCAACTCTCTTATCTCTCAAGCCTCCCCTTCTAGAAAATTGACTCTTGGAGGTTCACAAATCACAGTCTACTCTAATACACACGAATGGTCCATAAAAAAAACCTGCTTGCGCTTCTATATCTTAATTTTGATTTTTTATCAAAATATTTACATTAGTTGCCCTCGCATTAACCTCATCCATGGAATTATGAGATTTAATTAGGTTTAGATCACTCCGGGTTGGAATAAGATTTGTAGAAATGCAGTGAACTAGTAAGAAAGTGCCAATGGAACCTTTTTTTTTTTTTTTTCTATTATCTTAATTCAACCGGTCCACATTTTAAGAAAATAAAATTTTAAATGTTCCATATGAAGATAATTAATTAGTGTTATTACCAGCTAGTTTTTGTACGTAATATCCCAAAACGTTAACTATTTTAGATGTGCTTAACACTTAAAAATTCCATCAAAATGTTATTCTTGAATTAAATCACCTTTAATTGAACATTCAATTAGTGAAAACATTAACAAGATATAAAATGATCCATCGACATATATAGTTAGAGAACCAGAATTATCTTCCTCCCATTTATTCTAATCAAATAGCTACTCAATTATTATGTTATACCTTCTAATTTTGTTTGATGAAAGGTCATTCGTTGTTCATTTATTTTGATATGAATCTTTTAGAAATGTCATTTTTTTAATCTTTTTTCTCATTAAAAATTTGTCAATATTTCAAAATATTTTTGAATGCGTATGACGAATAAAAGTAATGTATGCATTCTTATCAATATAAGTTATGTATTATTAGGATTTCTTCGATAATATTAATTGTTTTAATATTTGTTTATTAAAATGCTAAATAATAATTAATATTTCATGAAAAACTTTTTCAACCTCTAAAAACTAGAGATGGAATCGGGGTGAGTTTTCATGGGTACCTGACCCACAAAATTCTGTTTATAGCAAGTTTGGATATTAACTAAATGGGTTTAAGATGGATAAGGATACGAAATTGACTATCCAACGTGGATTTGGTTGAGTGTGGATTTAAGCTGCGGCTCGATGGACATCAACTTTAAGGTGAGGTATGCTATATAAACAAAGTGGATTTTCATGGTATCTCATCCATTCCAATGCATTTCGAGTGGATTCAGGTGTTAGTTAAATGGGTATGGAATGGGTACAAGTATTAAAATTTTAAATAGGTATTTATATAGGTATTACAAAAAAGATTTTAAACGGATTTGAGATGAGTGTAGATATCACAATTTATAAGTGGGTTTGGATATGGATAGTGAAAATTTTATGGCTATTCACTCAACTTCCATCCCTACTAAAAAGTATTATAAATATTATGTTAACAGCAAAATTAATAATAGAAATTAAATTTTAATTTGATCCAAACACTAAAATTTAATTTAAATTAATTTAAAAGTTATTGTGGAAGAAGGGATTAAAATCTTTAATGGATAACCGGTTTGGAAATATATATATTAAAAGGAAGAAGGAAAAGGATTGTTGACCTTGACAAATCATAAATTTTTCAAAGAAGAAAAACAATTGTTGCTGGATATTATGTAACTATGTTCACTGTGTTGCCATTGCCCCTATAGATTAAGGGCCGTCTAAAACCCTAGCTCTACTATTATGAAATTGATATTTTAATCAATAATGAATTGAAGAAGAACATCAAAGCATATGCTTGTTCCCCCATCACCAAGCAATCAGCCAATAACCTTTTTTTTATTTATTTATTTTCTACTTTTCCCATTATATTTCTTTTAGGTAAACAACTATCCTATTATTCTCGTATTTATATGTTGTTAGTCAATTTTTGGGAGACAAAACAAGTATTGAACAACTGTCACACGTGTTCACTGACCCATAATTTGCTGTCCGAACTCAATAGACTGTGCAAGTACAAATAACCGACTCTCTGATGCTGCCACCTGGCCCCTATCATAGAGGGAGGATCATGAATGGACTCAGTTTACTATTATAAAAACAGTGATTAATTGTCTTTTCTAGTACTATTATCTATTTTACAAGCCATAGAGTTCTATAAATAGAAGGAAGCCCCAAAGGAAATTTGTACCATTGTTGTTGCAATTTTTTGTTTGATTAAATTACTATTTACTCGATTAGATTTTATCTAATTAATTATTTTAACTTCTTTATTTTATTAAATATTAAAAGATTATTAATTGACCCATTAAACTATTTAGTATTTTCGTCAGAAAAGTCCTTCACATATGTCTTGTAATTGAAGTGACAAAAATTTTAAAATTAATGAAGAAATAACCATTTTTTTTTTTTTTTTTATGTTTATTTTAAATATTAAAGATTATTAAGTTGATCCCATTAACTATTTAGCTATTTTCGTCAGAAAAGTCCGTTGCACATATTTCTTGTAATTGATTAGTGACAAAAATTTTAAAACTTACATGAAGAAATAACATTTTTTCTTTTTTTTTGGTTTTCAGCTAAATTTTATAGTTATTAATTAATAGAAACCTGCAATTTTTTTTTTTTTTTGGTTTTCAGCTAAATTTTTAGTTATAATTAATAACCATAAATTTTTTTTAAGTATGTTTTCTATATTAGAATAACAACATTGCTTTAACATTTTTTTTTAAAAAATATTTATTTTGATTAGTTTGATATATGATAATACTTTTTATTTAAATATTACTTATTATTATTAAATTATATCAAAAAATTGAGTTTTTACTTGACCCAAAAAAAATTAATTTAAGTAAAAAAAAAAAAAGAAAAATCTTATTATTCAAAAAGTTTGTAAACTAAATTTTTTTTTACAGAAAATTTAGTGAAAAACTAAAAGAAAAAACTAATGGACAATTTTGTAATTATTTAAAATGTTGTAAAGTTATTTTCCTCTTTTTTTTTTCGAAGGGAAAAAAAGTTATTTTTCTCTTTAATTAATAGGAATATGTTAATGAAAGGCATTTCTTTCTTTTTGTTAATATCTAATTGCTAGAATATTATCTTTTAATAAAATGACTAGATAATTTAACTGGTCAATAATATAAAACTAAACACCCTTAAATAGCTAATTAAGCAAGTAAATAATTATCCTTATTGTTCTTTTAATGTGTTCATTAAATGATTAAAAATTTATGAAAATACTTCATAAACATTCATAAACAATTGGAATAACTTTTATTACAAAAACTGAAAATATATATTTATTTTCAAAATGAAAAATGTTGTAGTAAAAAGATTTTAACTATTTTTGCATGTTATTTCATTTGGAGGAGAAATTATAATAAGATCATGAATTTATTCTTTAAATACATGCATGGGAAGTTCTAGAGGGAAAAAAAAAAATCAATGAAGGTAATATTCTATGCAGTCAAATTTCACATTTTCTTCCTAAGAGTCTTTTTTTATATATAAAAAGAATTAAAAATTAAAAGAAAAGAATTAAAATATATTTTTTCTCATAAGGGAAGAAAGCGATTCTTTCCTCTGTATCTAGTCTTGAAACCAGGAAAAGATCCATCAACTATTGAACATTGGAATAGTTTCTTTATAATATAATATTCTCACCTTCTAGATCTCTCTATTATTGTCTTCATATACTATACATACGCCTATATATATAAACTATATGCTACTAATTATATGCATAATAATTATAATTATAATTAATTAATAATCCTAAAGACACCAACAAAATTAACCGACCAAGATTACTTGCATGCCAAGAATATTAATTTAAAAAATATTATTGATTCTTATTGACTAAAGACCATTTTAATGATTTGTTTCAAATTAATCTTTTTTTTTTCCCTAATTCATAATTAATCTGTTTTTCAAGAACAAGAAAAGTAACTGATTCTACGGCCGTCGCGTTCAGAATTTCTCACATGGGTATTGAAAAAAATATATATATATATATATATATCGCGTCAAGAATTTCTCACATGGGTAATTGAAAAAAATATATATATATATATATATATATATAGTACATAATACATTAAAAATGTTGGTTAAAAGCATGTTGTTGGTGGTAATGCAATATGTTAAATAAATGTATTTATATA